GAAATTTATATATTTCTTGTAGATAATGTACTTCATTGACATATAATTGTTGAAGATAGCTTCTTATGACTATTTGTATTTCCCTGGTGTCAGTTGTAATTCTCCCGTTTTATTTATGATTCTATTTATTTATTTATTTTAATTTTCTCTTTCCTTTCTTGCCTGGTCTAGCTAAGGGTTGTCAATTTTATATTTTTAAGAAAACAACTCTTAGTTTTGCTGACTTGTATCTTGTTTCCTATTCTCTGTTTCATTTATTCAGCACTACTCTTTATTATTTCCTTCCTCTGCTAACACTGGGCTTATTGTTGTTCGGTCACTAAGTTGTATCTGACTTTTTGCAACCCCATGGACTGTAGCCTTCCAGGCTCCTCTGTCCATGGAACTCTCCAGGCAAGAATACTGGAGCGGGTAGCCATTCCCTTCTCCATGGATCTTCCTGACCCAAGGATCAAATATACAAGTCTCCAGTGTTGCAGGCAGATTCTTTACTATCTGAGCCACCAGGGAAGCCCAACTTTGGGCTTAGTTTGTTCTTATTTTTAATTCCTTGAAGTGTAAAGCTAGGTTGTTTGCTATTTATCACTATAAACTTCCTTCTGAATACCACTTTCATTATGTCCTATAAATTTTGGTATGTTATGATTTTGTTTATATTGATGTTTTCTAATGTCCCTTTTAATTTCTTCTTTAATTGATTATCAAGAGTGCATTTTTTAATTTCCATGTATTTTTTCCTATTTTACTTTTGTTACTGATTTCTACTTTCATACCATTGTGGTTGAAAAGTAATTGATATGATTTCAGTCCTCTCAAATTTTTTAAGACATATTTTGTTGTCTAATATATGGTCTGTTTTGCACAATGTTCCGTGTGTGTGTCCCATATTCTACTACTTTTGTATCAAATATTATGTATCTATCTGTTAGGTTTGTTTGGCCTGTAGTGCTTCCTAAGTCTATATCTTTATTTTTTGTACAGGTAGTCTATCCATTATTGAAAATGGACTATTGAAGCCTTGTACTGTTATTGTATTGCTGTCTGTTACTCCCTTCAGATCTGTCAATTTTTGCTTTATATGTTTGTGTGTGTGTACATGCATACACACACACACTCTCTGATGTTTAGTGCATATGTGTTTATAATTTTTATGACTCTCTGGTACATTATGTAATATATTTTCTCATTATGTAATGACCTTCTTTATCTCTTTTGACAGTTTTCTTTTTCTTAAGGACTATTTTTTAAATGTAAGTATAGCACTCCTGCTTGCTTTTGATTGCCATTTGTTTGGAAAACCTTTTTTTCCATCCCTTTACTTTCAGCCTATGTGTACCCTTTAAGTTAAAGTGAATCTCATGTAAATAGCATATAGTTTCATCTTTTTTAAAAAATTCATTCAGACACTCCTTATCTTTTGATTAGAACATTTACTCCATTTACATTTAAAGTAATTATTGATAGATAAGGGCTTCCCAGGTGGCACTGGTGGTAAAGAAGCCAGTGCAGGAGATGCAAGAGATGTGGGTTCAATCCTTGGGTTGGGAAGATCCCCTGGAGTAGGAAATGGTAGTCTACTCCAGTATTCTTGCCTGGAAAATTCCATGGACAGAGGAGCCTGGAGGGCTACCATCTACAGGGTCACAAAGTGTCGGACACAACTGGGCATGGTCACACAAAAGAACTTATTATTGCAGCTGTGCTAATTGTTTTCTGCCATGTTTGTGGCTCCTTCATTCCTCTTTCTTTCTTGCTGTCTTCCACAAAGATTTGGTGGGGGTTTTTTTGGTAATGATATACTTTGATTCTTTTCTCTTTATCATTTTTTAATCTACTCTAGGTATTTTTCTCTGTGGTTGCCGTGAGTTTTGCATAAAATTTCTCTTAGTTATAAAAATTTATTTAAAGCTGTTAACAATTTAATTTCAACCACATATAAAAACTTTTACTTCTTCCACCCAAAAATTTATGTTATTGATGTCAGAATTTACTTTTTACATTGTGTATCCTTTTAAAAAATTTATTGGTTATCATGTACATTACTCCTAATACTTTGATCTTATACTGATAAGGTCTTATAAGATTAAGTATATATATTTATAAGATTAAGTAAAAGTCTTATACTGCAGTTAAAAACAATTTGTGCACCACTAGGGGCTTCCCTGGTGGCTCATATGATAAAGAATCTACCCGTGATGCAGGAGGCTGGGGATTGATCCCTGGATCAGGAAGATCCCCCAAAGAAGGGAATAACAACCCACTCCAGTATTCTTGCCTGGAGAATTCTATGGACAGAGGAGCCTGGTGGGTTACAGTCCATGGAGTTGCAAAGAGTCAGATTTGACTGAGCAAGTAACACTTTCTATTTTACTTTCCATTATAATATTACAGTATCTGTATTTGTCTATATATTTACCTTATCAGTGAGATTCATACTTTAATATGCTTTTCTATGTTTAGCATCCCTTTGTTTCAACTTAAAGAACTTCCTTTAGTGCTTCTTATAAGGCAGTTCTAGTGGAGATGAATTTTTCCTATTTTTGTTTGTCTGGGAAAGTCTTTATTTAATTTTTAAAGGACAGTTTTGAGATGTATAGTATTATTGGTTAGCAGATTTTTTCTTTCAGTACTTTAAAATATGAATGTAAGTCTTTCTTGTCCTGCTAAGTTTCTGCTAAAAAAAGCCCCACTGATAGTCTTATGAGGATTCTCTTTTATGTGATGAGTTGATTTTCCCTTGCTGCTTTCAAAATTCTCTCTTTCTTTGACTTTTGACATTTGATTATAATGTGTCTGTGTAGCCCTCTTTGTATTCAACCTGTTTGAAATTTGTTGTGCATCATCAATCTGGATGTCCGTTTCCTTCCTCAGATTTGGGTGTTTCTAACATTTATTTCTTTAAGTAACATTTCTACCAATTTTTCTTTCTCTTCTCCTTCTGGGACACCATTGATGTATGTATTGATTTGCCTGATGGAGTCTCATATGTGCCATAGACTTTCTTCACTGTTTTTCATTTTTTTCTTTTTATTCCTCTGATTGGATAATTTAAATTGATTTATAGTCAAGTTCACAGATTACTTTTTTCTATTTGGTCAGGTCTGCTGTTGAAGCTCTTTATTTAATTTTCAGTTCAGTCAGTCAAGCACACAGACAGATGCCAGCGCCAGGTGTTCTTGCCATGAGCCCCAGCACCGAGCCTGCTCACTAATGGTTCCAGAAACCAGGCCCAACCACAGCCCCCTAGAGCAGGTCTGCCTGTGAACCTTGGCATCAGGTCTATCCATCTACAGACCTTAGGACTTGGTAAGGCCATGTGCAAACCTGGCACCAAGCCTGCCTGCTAGTGAACCCCAGCCTAAGGGTGGCACACACACCTCACCAGCTTCTGCTCATGGTCCCCACCAACCAGCCCACACAGATCTCAGGCAAAATTAGCTGATAAAGAGCTTTCTTTGCTGAAGCCAGACTATAAAGACTCAAAGAAGTGACTCCTCCTTGAAAGGTATAGACACTAATGCAAGGTTACAAGGATCATGAGGAATCAGGGAAACATAACACCAGCAAAAGAACAAAAATAAAACTCTAGTAACTGACTCTTTGTCAGAATTCAAAATAACTGTCTTAAAGGAACTCAGTGAACTGTAAGAGAAAATATATAACTGAACAAAATCAGGAAAGGAATACATAAAATGAGAAGTTCAATAAAGAGACAGAAACTATAAAAAAGGACCAACCAAATATTTTTTAAGTGTAGGCCTACAAAAACCCACTTAAAATATCACTGGACATGATAATCTAGGCTACTGGTTTTTAAAAATTTTTCTGTAATTGTATTAACATATTTTAAAATTAATGATAAATGATGCCACTAAGTAAAATGAGAGATTTAAAACAAGAAAAATCCAAAGCAATATAATTTCATATTCAGTCTCTAAATTCCCTTCTTAATCACATTGTCCTCTTACCATCTAATGGTTTCTTATACTTCACTTTCACCTATAGTTCATGACTGAACACTTAATTTCATTATTATCATGTCTTTATAATTTCTTATGTTCCTATGGACATGCTCACAGACATTCACATGTATAACCAATGAATTCATGTATACTTTATTGAAAACAAATGGAAGCAATCGAATGGAAATTCCCTTAACTTCCTCCACTTGTGACCTTCCCTCCTAGATATAGAACAAAGTGCCCCTGCTTCTACCTAAGTCCTTTTCACCTAGATTTAATACTCTGTTTCTCAAGTAATTCACTCTTGAAATTTTTCTTCATTCTCCTCTAATGTCAGGGGACTTCCCTTTTCAAAAGTATGTATCACTATGAGCCATATAAAAGTACTCTGGCTCAAAAAAAGATTTTAATAAAAAAATAGTAATGTGGCTGATTTAGAACATTTCTTGTATGATAATGACTAGGAAGTGAGCTTTTAAGTATCTGAATATGGATTGTGGGACAATAATGAAGAAAACATTTATGCAGAGTAAGATCTAGGTGCTGGGGTAACTGAGAAGCATTAAAAGACTTTTGATGTGGATATTCTTTTTTTGTTTTCCAGAAAGAACACTTCTCTATATGATAATGAAAAACCATAGTGCTATCAATGAGTTCGTTCTTCTTGGACTATCTATTGACCCAAATATTCAGGCTGTACTCTTTGTGCTGTTCCTTCTGATCTACCTCCTCACTCTGATGGGAAATTTCTTGATGTTGCTGATGATTAGGGCTGATTTTCACCTGCACACACCCATGTACTTCTTCTTGAGACAGCTCTCCTTTCTGGATCTCTGCCATTCATCCGTCACAGTCCCCAAGATGCTGGAAAATCTACTTTCTGAAAGTAAAACCATCTTCGTAGAGAGCTGCCTGGCTCAGGCCTTCTTTGTGTTTACCACTGGGGGCACTGAGGCCTGTCTGCTGGCTGTGATGGCCTATGACCGCTACGTAGCCATCAGCACCCCTCTGCTTTACGGCCAGGTGATGAACAGCCAGCTCTGTGTTGGGCTGGTGTGGGGCTCCTGGGGCCTGGCCTTTGTGGATGCTCTCATCAACATCCTCCTGGCTGTCGATTTAGACTACTGTGAGGACCAAACTATTCCCCACTTCAGCTGCGAGCTGTCCTCCCTCTTCCCTCTGTCTTGCTCTGATACCTCCACCAATTTCACGCTCCTGCTCTGCTCTTCATTCTTACATTTCTTTGGAACCTTCGTTTTCATCTTCTTCTCTTATACCCGTATTGTCTCCACCATCTTGAGCATCAGCTCCACTTCAGGCAGAAGTAAAGCCTTCTCTACCTGCTCCTCCCACCTCACTACTGTGATTTTGTTTTATGGCTCAGGTTTCCTGAGCTATCTGTTGCCAGCCTCAGGTTCTGCCCTGGAGATGATCGTCTCCTTGCAATACAGCGTGATCACTCCCATGGTGAATCCTTTCATCTATAGCCTGCAGAACAAGGAGGTGAAGGCAGCTATGGGAAGAGTGTTGAGAAAATACTTTCATTCTCTTTTGTAGTATACACAAAATGATTATGAAAGAGAAGTTGAACTACTGTGCTACATGATCAAACAGTGGACTTTAAGGAGAGTTGATTGTCCAGGCTGCCAGATGTTACAGGGAACATAGAGCAATTATTTCCTTGGAAATGCTTCCAAAAAGGATAGAAAACTCTTGGGATGATTCAGGTTTAGTCTTATTTGGCAAAGGAGAAATGAATCAGATAATTCTCTTTTTTACAGGATCATTTTGTTAAAATGTTGATTTATTATTCATATTATGTGAACATCTGTTGCTTGTGTTATTCCTCCTTCATGCATCTTTGAACTCCAAATCCCTCGAAAAACTGATTTTCTCAAATTTATACATCCATAGAGTGAGGTGATCCTATAACCCAGGATAGACCAACCATTCTATCCTTTTCTTCTGACAGCGCATTCAGGCAAAGAGTGAAACAAATACCCAAGTGTTATTACTTAGAATCTTTCCGTAGAAAATTCAAATATTGAGCAGGAACAAACAGCAACAATACACCCATTATTCAGAAGAAAATCTGACTGTAGTGCCTAAAGAGACTGTGAAACCCTGTTCCCCTGGCACTTGTCCTTCCTGAGGTCATGTTTTTAATAGATATGGTAATAGTAGCCAATTTGTTACATTTCTTAACTCATGTCACAAAGTGCACTGAGCACCTCGGATAGACAGACTGGCCCCTCAAAGATGAGCTCATAATCCCTGGAACTTGTAAATGCGTTATGTGGCAAAAAGGACTGGATGGATGAATAAGGTTATAGGCCTTAAAAAAGCTTGGGTATCATAGATTATCCAGATGAACTCAATCTAATCACATAAATCCTTGAATGCAGAGAAACTTGTAGGCAGTTATGATGAAGCAGAAAGGAAAGGTCTTTTAAAGGTAATATCACAAAGACTCAAACCACCATTGCTGGCATGGGTCTGTGAGCCAGAGACTGGGTGATTCCTAAAAGCTGAAAACAACTCCCAGCCAAAACCAGGAAAGAAATAGAAACTTCAGTCCATGGAATTCAGGGACTTGGTGTCCCTTCCAATCCTCCAGGTAAGGCCTGCTGATTTGATTTTGGCCTTATGTGACCCACATCAAAAAATCAGTTGAGCCCACCCATATTTCTGACCTAAAAAAGCTTATCATAAAATATATTTGTGTCATTTGAGTTTGTGGTCCTGTGTTTTATGGCAGCAATAGAAAACTATTAATAATAGAAAACTATTAAAGGCCACAGTGGACCTTCCCCAGTGGCTCAGCAGTAAAGAATCAGCCTGCAATGCAGGATACACAGGAGACATGGGTTCTGTCCCTGGGTCAGGAAGATTTCCTGGAGGAGGAAATGGCAATCCACTCAAGTATCCTTGCTGGGAAAATCTCATGGACAGAGGAGCCTGGCAGGCCACAGTCCATAGGGTTTCAAAGAGTCAGACACCTAACTTTTATTATCTGTTATCTAACTTTTATTATCATACTTAAGGAGATGCATTTATTGTTAACTGTCCTTTACTGGTAAGGAAATGAGACTCAGGATGTTTATATACTGTCCAGAAATTCAGAGCAAGGAAATGGTGGAGCTGGAATTTTAACCCATGCAGTTTGAGTCGAGTCCACACACTCAGTCACTGAAGTGCTGCTTCTACTAAGTCTATGAGGCTCACAAGTACTTTCTGTAATTATATTTTCTGTTGAATTAGTTGCTTACAAACAAAGAATGGTAGTTGATACAGGTATCAAAAGTGAGGTTCAAACAACAGAAATTTGGGTGAAATGCAACAGATAAATGGTGAAAGTATTTAGAATTAGGTATTTGGTTAAGATTTTGGAAAGGACAGTAATTGCTATGCTTCCTCTTCTATTTTGTGAACTGTCCTTTTTTCCAAAAATGTATTTTTCTCCCTTTAATTAAGCTATCTTCAGTCAGTTTCTGTTTCTTTCAAAGAAAACTGATTGGTTTTAAAATTAGAACTGGGAGATTGATTTGTAGACAACTCTCAGGGAAATGAGGATATTTAGTATTTATGATTGTGCTAAGACAGGTACAATGAAGTCAGTCATCTGTCCATCGTTACTACTCATGATATATAATTGCCACTCTTAAGACCCATTGTTTGAGACCATGGACACTGTACTAAGCCCTGGAGTAAGGGAAATTTGCTAACATTGAGCTAGTACAAGAGAGAGGAATGCCAAGGCCACAGGGACTTCTATTGTTAAGATAATTATTTCATTTCTTGATTTTTAAGTTTTTATATAGTTATAAAGGTTACTTTTCATTTATAGTTATCACAAAATGTTGGATATATTCCCTGTTTTATACAATATATCCTTGAGCCTATCTTACACACCTAATAGTTTGTACCTTTCACTCCCCAACCCTTATGTTGCTCCTCCTCCACCCTAGTAACCACTAGATTTTTCTCTATGTCTCTGAGTCTGCTTCTTTTTTGTTATGTTCAGTACTTTGTTGTATTTTTTATATCCCACATATACGTGATCTCATACAGTATTTCTCCTTTTCTGAGTTATTTCACTTAGTATTATGCCTTCCAAGTGAATTCATGTTGCTAGAAATGGCAAAATTTTGTTCTTTTCATGGCTAAGTGGTATTCCATTGTATGTATATGTGTATGTGTGTATACATATGTATATATATTTATACACACACACACACATCTTCTATATCCATTCATCTGTTGATGGACTCTTAGGTTATTTCCATGTCTTGGCAATTGTAAATAATGCTGCTCTGAACATTGGGGTGCATGTATCTTGTTAAATTCATGTTTTAGGGGTTTTTTGACTATATACTCAGGAGTGGAATTGCTGAGTCATACAGTAGATTCGTTAATTTTTTGGAGAAATCTCCATACTCTTTCTCATGGTGGCTAAACTAATTCACATTTCTAAAAAGAGTGTACAGGGTCTCCCTTTTCTTCACATCCTCCCTAAGGTTTTTTATTTGTAGATTTTTTGATGATAGCCATCCTGACAGGTGTGAGGTAATATCTCCTCATGGTTTTGATTTGCACTTCTCTAATAATTAGTGTCAGACTTTATTTTTGGGGGCTCCAAAATCACTGCAGATGGTGACTGCAGCTATGAAATTAAAAGACGCTTACTCCTTGGAAGGAAAGTTATGACCAACCTAGACAGCATATTAAAAAGCAGAGACATTAAAAAAATAAAAATAAAAAGCAGAGACATTACTTTGCCAACAAAGGTCCGTCTAGTCAAGGCTATGGCTTGTCCGGTGGTCATGTATGGATGTGAGAGTTGGACTGTGAAGAAAGCTGAGCACTGAAAAATTGATACTTTTGAACTGTGGTGTTGGAGAAGACTCTTGAGAGTTCTTGGACTGCAAGGAGACCCAACCAGTCCATCTTAAAGGAGATCAGTCCTGGGTGTTCATTGGAAGGACTGATGCTGAAGCTGAAACTCCAATATTTTCGTCACCTGATGCAAAAAGCTGACTCATTTGTAAAGACCCTGATGCTGGGAGGGCTTGGGGGCAGGAGGAGAAGGGGACAACAGAGGATGAGATGGCTGGATGGCATCACCAACTCAATGGACATGAATTTGAGTAAACTCCAGGAGTTGGTGATGGACGGGGAGGCCTGGCATGCTGCGATTCATGGGGTCGCAAAGAGTGGGACACGACTGAGCGACTGCACTGCACTGAACTGAACTGAATAATTAGTGATGTTGGACATCTTTTCATGTGCCTGTTGGCCATCTACATTTCCTCTTTGAAAAATGTCTAGCTTATCTGTACATTTATAAAATCAGGTTGTTGGGAGAAAATATTTGCAAATGTTATGACTGACAAGGGATTAGTATCCAACATATATAAACACCTTGTACAACTCAAAAAAATATTTCTTGATTTTTTTACCCTCAGGTACACAATGAAGTTCGGGGACTTTCTTTCCCTGTGCTGAACAAATACATGACCTTTATAGATGTAGAACAGAGACTATTCAAAACTAACTTCAGAAACTGATTCAGTGACTTCACTACCAGAGCAGGTTGCTTATGGGAGAAATGGATGTTGACCTGGGAATTATATCATCTCAACATCAGGGAATAGCAGAATAATGTCATGATGAAGAATTTGAAGGACCTGGAGAATCATGAACCTCCTCCCTCTCTAAAACCAGCATGTTTTCTCTTGCCCCAGCATACTGTGACCCCCAAATGGAAGAAAGTTAGTTACCCCTCATATTCTTCCATGTTTCTCTGTTGAGATCCAGGATTCAAAACCAACATGGCTTGAAAGATGAGATCAGAATCAGGAAAGGAAAGAATTAGATGTTGAAAAAAATAAATAGATGAATTTTTGTCTCTAATAATCTAGAGAATATTTCTGAGAAGTTTTTTTCTTAATCAAGGAGAGTCAATTTAATTTCTGTGTAGTAGTGTTTTTTGAACCATTTTTATGTGTCTATGTTCTTTTATTCAGACATCATTTTACACAAACACTTGAATGGTATCACATCATATTACAATCTATTTCCTGGGGATTTTTTGGCTTGCCATCCTTTCCACATCTTCTCCTGCTTATTCTCCTACTCAAGATAATCCATGTTAACCACAGAGTGTATCTTTCTCTGGGTTTATACATTCACATTCAAACTTATGTACACATATGCATATACATATATGTATATGTATATATGGTAAATAGAAGTTTTCCATCTCTGTTTGCTTTTCATTCATGAATAATTTATATAAAATGTACTACACCTCAAATGGCCAGCTCTAATTCATTATTTTTGTGTGTATCAGCATAAAATTCTCTTATAAATGTGCCATAGTTTTCAAACCATTCCCTTACATTTAGGCTCTCTTTGCTTCCATTTTTTAACCAGTACAAAAATGCTACAGTAAACATTTTTGAGTACATACTATGAAATTTAAATGTTTTTATTTTTTTGGCATTTCTTTCTGATTCCCAGAAGTAGCATTGTAAAGTGTTTGTATTTTTCTAATT